GACATAAACCCTAAATATTATGCGCATAAACCTAGAGGAAGCAGAAACGACTCCTGCCTCTCAAACCCTACACCCTAAACCCTAAACCCTAAGCCACAGCCCATAAACCCCTAGTATTTAAGCCCCCCACAAACAGGTTTCTGAAAAGAGGATGCAGCAGCATCATTTGCTGCAGCATCAGCGGCTGGTAGCAGGTGCAGCAGCAGCAGGCGCAGCATCAACTGCTGCTGCAGCAGCAGCAAGTGCAGCAGGAGCAGCAGGCATTTGATGTTTGTATGCTGCTTAGGGCTTCCTCCCGCGACGTCGCTATAAAACAAGCCTCATACAAACCCATTGCTGCTGCTGCTGCTGTTGCTGTTGCTGCTGCTGCTGTTGCTGCTGTTGCTGCTGCTGCAGCTGCTGCAGTTGCTGCTGCTGACGAGACGGTGTTCATGCAGCAGGAACTCCTTGTTGCTGCTGTTTTTCTTGGTGTGTATTTTGCTGCTGCTGTCCCTTTTGTTTGTGCCCCTTTTGTTTTTGCTGCTGCTGCTTCTGCTGCTGCTGCTGCTGCTGCTGCTGCTGCTGCTGGTGGTCTTGAGGCATAGGTAATAGCTCAAAAAGTACAGTGTCAGGAGGATCTACAGGGGTGCCGGGCTGAAGGTTTTCATAGAAATGAGAGAGCTGATAAATATATTTAGGAGGTGTATGTAACTTATTAAAAAGTTTGTCCATAGCTGTAGGTAAAAAGGGTGATAAGAAGTGTGCTAAGATGTACATACACTCTAAACACAGACGAATATCTTCATTTCTTTTGTTAACATCTTCACAAGACCAAGGTGCAGCATCAGTAAGATATTTATTAACTGCACGTACAGCTGTCATGATATGAGTAAGAGCATCTCTAGGAGACAGATTATTGAAGGCAGCAGCAACAGCAGCATGAAGATGAAGCAAAACAAACGGCGGAGATATAGGATGTATAGACTGTTTATTTTCGTCTCTTTTAGCAGGAATACACCCCGCACAGAACTTGTGAATTAAGCCTAATAACCTTTGAAGTAGATTTCCGATAGTATTAACAAGATCTGTGTTATGCATTTGTACAGCAGCAGATAAACTAAACCTTAAATCATGTCCGTTTGGTGCTTCTTTTAAGAAGAAGAATCGGAGTGTATCTGCATCGAGAGTATTTAAAGCACATGCAGGCGATATAACATTTCCTAGGCTTTTACTCATCTTATCTCCTGTACCGCTTAATATAAAGCCGTGCGCATACACCCGAGAAGGTAAACAAACACCTGCTGACATTAATATACACGGCCATATCACACAATGAAACCATATTATATCTTTTCCGATTATGTGAATGCAACGACTAAACATCGAAGAGTCAAACCGCAACTCTTCTCCTTCTATACTCGGTGATAAACCTAAACACATATACATACATATATATATACATGTATATAATATATATATATATATTTATATATATATTATATATATAGTATATAAATATATGGATATATGTGTATATATATGTATAGAGGTATATATAGGTATATTATATATATATATGTATATATATGTATATATATATAGATACATATATATATATGTATATATGTATATATGTATATATATATATATATATATCTGTATACAAAAATATACATTTATAGATATACGCATCAATCAGTGTGCAGCAACAGCAGCAGCAGCACAAGCAACAGCACAAGCAACAGCAGCACGAGCAGCAGCAGCACAAGCAGCACAAGCAACAGCACAAGCAACAGCAACAACAGCACAAGCAGCAGCAGCACAAGCAGCAGCAGCAGCAGCAGCAGCAGCACAAGCAGCAGGAGGAGGAAGAATAAGGGCTTGCCTGTTAAGTAGTTCGCTAGCGCATCGAACCAGACATACATAACATGCTTTTCGTCTCCAGGTACCCGTACACCCCAGCTAAACGTAGATCTAGAGCAACTTAAATCTTGAAGAGGCTCCTGTAACCTCTTTAATATTTCTCTTCGTTTCTCTGCCGGCCCTATAAACTCAGGATGTTTATTTATATGCTCTATTAAACGATCTTGATATCTGCTCACACAATTCAAACACACAAATCCAAATGCTCTAGGGTTTAGGGTTTAGGGTTTAGGGTTTAGGGTTTACGGGTTGAGGGAAAGAGACACCCAAATAACTCATATCCTTTATAGTAATTGTATTATACAAATATATATATATATATATATTTATATAATTAGTTTATATATTTATATATATATATATATATAATTAGTTTATATATATATATATATATTAACATACTTATTCACATATTTATGTATATACAGTAATATGCATATTATATAATAGTATATAATTATAACATATAATATAATAATATATAAAATAACACAACATAACATAATATAAAACATAATATAATATATATAATATATATATGTATATAACATAACATATATAATATAATATTATATTATAATAGATTATATTACTTGCTCATCCTGAAGAAGTAGCTTTCTTCTTGCATTTGGACGAGAGGCTGTTGAGTAGTAGGGTCAACGAAGTTGAGCAGAAGAGCTTCTTTATCGGTGACGAAGGTCTCTTCTTTGACGTTGTACCAGCCCTTATAATTGCTGCGATAGATATCACCTTTAGCAGCACATCTAGTCCACAGCCAAGTGCATACTTGTTTATGTTTGCTGCTAGATGTCCTAATAAATATATCATTTGTTATATTTAACTTCTTTAATAACTCTACAAACTCTTCTTGTACTTTATCTACAAACTCCTGTGCCGATACACCCCGTTTCTCTGCTGTCTCTGCTATTTTTAGACCATGTTCGTCGCTTCCTGTACAAAATAATACTTTTAATCCGGCTAATCTATTATAACGCGCTAAACAATCTGCTATTATATACTCATATGCATGCCCTATATGAGGAGAGCCGTTAGTATAAGCTATTGCTGTTGTTATATAATAAGGGGCTCCTATTGCTGCTGTTGTTGCTGCTGCTGATGATGATGATGATGCTGCTGTTAATGATGATGGTGCGACTTTTGCTGCTGCTTGTGCTGCTGCTTCTGCTGCTGCTGCTGATGCAGCAGTTGCTGCTGCTGCTGCTGTGCAGGCAGATAGACAGCGACGAGTTAGCAGCATGGGGCCTTCTGGGGGAGGGACTGCTGCTGCTGCTGCAGCAAAAGCAGCAGCAAATCGTTGATGAGTTGCTGCTGCAGCACTACCTAGATGTGGGAAGTCAGCAGCAAACACTGAAGATAAAAGCTGACAGACAGAAACACCGCTAAAGACAAGCGAAGCAAAAAGCAGCAAATCGCTCAGTGAGGGGCCCAACCCAGACAATCCTTCTCCTTCTGTTGCACCTGCAGCAGCAGCAGCAGCAACAGCAGCAACAGCAGCAGCAGCAGCAGCAGTAGCAGTAGCACACAAAAAAGAAGTTTGGTGCGCGTCGCAAAAGAAGAAGAAGAGGAAAGAAAGATTTATTTTAGGGTTTAGGGTTTAGAGGTAGAGTAAGTGCTAGGGTTTAGGGTTTAGGGTTTAGGGTTTAGGGTTTATACCGTAGTGCGCATCGAGCTCTTCTAACAGACGCAAAATTTTATGTCTGTCAGCACTTAAAAGGATAGGCTGAGCTTTAAACAAAACAAAGTTTATCCACTGCTGCTCCCTCCAATATGCAGCTTCTGCTGCTGCTGCTGCTGCTGCTGCTGTTGTTGCTGCTGTTGCTGCTGTTCCTTTTGCTGCTGCTGCTGCTTCAGGAGGAAGACAGCCTGGCAGCAGTTCTTTCGCGAGTTGTTTGTTTGCTGCAAGTAAATAAAAACAAATTGGATATATGCCTCCTACTGCTGCTGGTGCAGCAGCAGCAGCAGCAGCAGCAGCAGCAGGAGCAGCAGAAGCAGCTGCTGCTGCAGCAGGAGCAGCACAGAGCAAGAAAGGAGGGGTTGAAGGGGATGTTGCTGCAGCAAAAGAAAAAGAATAATCAAATACTTCTGTCTCTATTTTTAATAAATGACAGACAGACAAAACACTAAAACCCCCTACGCCTGAAGGATCCAGATACACCCGAAATGCGGCGTTAACCCCAGGGGTTGAACTGCCTATCATCTTCAAAAACCCTAAACCCTAAACCCTAAACCCTAAACCCTAAACCCTAAACCCTAAACCCTAAACCCTTGGTGTAAAAAGAAAGAAAAAGAAACAACACCCACACCCCACTCGTTGGGTAGAAAACTCAACAAACCTCTGCACGCCGCGCATGCAAACCCTAAACCCTAAACCCTAAACCCTTCAGTACAAATTAACTCAAACATAAATATATATATACACTCTTCAAAAGAAGTTATAAACAAACCCTAAACCCTAAACCCTCATAAACAGGCGCAGCCCCAAACCTGGGGCCTCGCTGTCGGAGCATGCACAAAGCAAAACACTTCACACAAACCTTAAAACCTTAAAACCCTAAACCCTAAACCCTAAACCCTAAACCCTAAAAACCTTTAAACTAGTAAGAAATAAATCTAAAAGATAACACAGCACTCTCTGCCTTTAGGTATTTTATTTGCTGCTACTCGACTGCCGTGCACTGATGAAGGATTTAGGGTTTAGGGTTTAGGGTTTAGGGTTTAGGGTTTGGGGTCTGTTTTAGTTGGATTGAACCCAGTTCATACAAGGCTGCACATAATCTATAATATTTTTCTTTCTGCATGCACAGGTGTTTCTATAGAGACAACTGCAGCAGCAGCAGCAGCAACTGCATCAACAGCAGCAGCAGTAGAACCAGTAGCAGCAGCAGCAGCAGCAGCAGCAGCAGCAGGAACACAAGAGGAGACAGGAGACACGAACTGTCTCTTCAGTCTCCCGTCCCTCTCTCCTTAGGTCTTAGGATGTTGCGCACGGTTGTCTATAAACCCTTGTCTTTAGGGTTTAGCAGCTAGCCTCTCCACTAAACCCTAAACCCTAGGGTTTAGGGTTTAGGGTTTAGGGTTTAGGGTTTATGGATCCTAAGCAGTCTTTCGTAAGATTTGGGGTGTATAGGGAGGTATAATATACTATGTTTGGGGTGTATAGGAAGGTATGATATGTATATATAATATGCAGAGTGTATATTAGAGCAAATAAAAGATATATTTGAGGTGTATAAAGAGTTAGAAGAGGTTCTGAATATTATAACAGCCAAAGTAAAGAGAAACAATTTGTTTGTGTGGTGTATACGCACCTGCATGCGTTTATAAATTTTATTATAATATATTGAGATATCTATACACCTGCATGTCTTTATATAATAGTATTATAATATACTGAGATGCCTATACACCTAAATAATATCTTTATATGCATAAATATACTTCTTCTAACCTCCCCACGGGGTGTACATACACCCCAAAGGTAGATAAGAAGGCAGCAACAATTCAAAGAAAGACTCAAAAGATAATCGGCTTAATTCGTCGTCCCCCTCTCCACTCGGCATCGGACCCCACACCTGCGCATACACCCCAAATAAAATTATATGTTTATATATATATATATATATTTATATTTGTTGTTTATATATTTATATATATAGTTTATATATATATAAACTGTTATATATATATATATATATACATATATATGCATATACACCTCAAATTAACATATAAACTATATATATATCTCGCATTAACTAATTAAATGCATATATATATATATACCCCAAATTAACTAAGTAAGTGGAGTATAATATATATATATATATACATATATATATATATACATGTATATAAATAACTAAGTGCATATACACCTCAACGTACAGACAAACCAACTGCATATGCACCTCACGCACACGGGTGGGCTGCCTATACACCCCAAGCAAATAAACAAGCTGCCTATACACCCCAAGCAAATAAACAAGCTGCCTATACACCGTAGATGCCCTCTCAGCATCCCTCTGTCTGTCTCCTCTCTTTCAACTGTCTCTATTTGATTTTTTGCTTTCTTCTGGCTGTCTATACACCCCAAGGGCTGTTAGGGTGTCTCCGCAGCAAACAAAACAACAAAAACTTCACGCTGTTCAAACAATTAACTTGGTGCAACAAAACGAAATACGCATCAACATTCTTCTTCTCTTCTATACTACAACCAGCTAGCTACCTATCCGGCTAGCTAGTTAGCTAGCTAGTTAGCTAGCTAGCTAACTAACTAACTAGTTAGTTAGCGACTAGCTAGCTAGGTGCCTAGCCACATAGCTAGCTAGCTAGCTAACTAGTTGGTTAGCGACTAGCTAGCTAGGTGCCTAGCCACATAGCTAGCTAGCTAGCTAGCAAGCTACCCATACAGCTAGCTAGCTAGCTAGCTAGCTAGCTAGCTAGCTGTGTCTTACTGCAAGAGCTCGTTGTAAGATGAATTCATTCGAACAAATTTTATGCCTCGGGACGTCAGATATGCGAGCGCGAATATCACGCCACTGCAGCAGCCGCTTCTGCAGCAGCAGCAGCAGCAGCAGCAGCAGCAGCAGCAATAGCAACAGCAGCAGCAGCAGCAGCGGATAGGGTTTAGGGTTTAGGCTGTAGTATTTACGATTTAGGAAAATGTTGAAGAGGGCTCCAATTGACGGGTCAGAGGTTAGGGTTTCTGGGATTTTAGGGTTTAGGGTTTAGGGTTTAGGGTTTAGGGTTTAGGGTTTAGGGTTTAGGGTTTACAACGACATGGAAGAGGGCTCCGACTGGGGCAACGCTTGCGGTGCTGAGTATTTCTGCAGCCTCTGCTTCAAGTCTGTACTGAGGGAAGTTATAAACTTTTAAGCATGCTTCTTGTGTCTGCCTATACACCTCAGCGAGCATAGCGATCCCTCCCTGCGCAGCAGCAGCAGCAGCAGCAACAGCAGCAGCAGCAGCAGCAGCAGATGTATTCGTTTATCTTCATTCGCTCCTCTTTAATGCAAACCATCTGATGTCTCTCTCTCTCTCTCTTTGTCTCTCTGCCTGCATTCTTCTTTCAATGCCTTCATCACCGTTTAGGGTTTAGGGTTTAGGGTTTAGGGTTTTTGACTGACAGTCTTCGGGGTGCATCCGTCCGGCTGCTTGGCGGTCTCAAAGGAGCAGAGATCATTTCTGCATCCTCACACTCCCACCAAAGGGTTTAGGGTTTAGGGTTTAGGGTTTAGGGTTTAGGGTTTAGGGTTTAGGGTTATCCCTTCCTCCGATGCATGTTGTGTTTATCTCCTAAAGTGTATTTTCTTCTTCTCTTTCTGGCGTTGTTTGTTTCGTCTCGTCGGTTTTATTTGACTAATTAGGGTTTAGGGTTTAGGGTTTAGGGTTTAGGGTTTAGGGTTTAGGGTTTAGGGTTTAGGGTTTGTTTACGGGCTTGCAGAGGCTGCGAGTCTGTTGTAGAGACAGAGTGAAAGATAAGGAAGGAAATGAATTTCCTTCACCAATGCAGATATTACCCGAGGGCTTAAAGGCCTAATCACAAACCCTAAACCCTAAACCCTAAACCCTAAACCG